AATAAGGGGAGATGGCTCAGTAGAATAAGTGCTTGCCTGGCAAACGCAAGAGTCTGAGATCAAATCCCCGGTTCCGCAAAAAAAAAAAAAAAAAAGAAAGAAAACAAACAAAAAAACTAATAATAGAGGTAGAAGTAGTGATATTGAGTTGTTGATGTTTTTATCTCTTTGCTTAATTATACTGCAGTTATATTAAAACCTTAAAAAGCTTGAAATGAGAATTGATTTTTAAAAAATAAAGTGAAAATTAGCTGAGAAAGCCTTGCCTTCAAGCCTAATACTGAAAATAGTAATAAAAAACAAAGGATACACAGCTATACAAGGTGCTTCTTAACTAGTTCAAAGTCTAAGATCAAATAAATCCTCACAAATGGCCACAAAAAATAAACTGTGAACACTCACTTTTTTTTTTAATTTTATTTATTTATTTGTGTGTGTGTGTGTGTGTGTGGCCAGCTCAGCCCACCAGGGGGCGGGGCTGGCTGGCATGTGGTGCTGGGGGATTGAACCTCGGTCCCTGTTCTTTGTTAGGCTTGTTCTAAGTAGGTGCTTTAGACCATTGAGCCATCTCACCAGCCCCAGAACACTCACTTCTGTGGGACGTTTTTCTTCCCTCTTTTCCCTTCTTCACACATTAAAAAAAAGCTTATAAGTGTAGAAACTGCAAAGTTTCAAGATGATATCTCTAAAATCTCAACTCATTAAGTGAGAAAGAAATCCAGAGATCTAATTTTCTGGGCCATATAAATGTAGTAGCTTTCTATCTCTTTCCCTTTTTTGTGAGTCAGGGTCTCACTGTGTAGCTCAGGCTGGCCTTGAATTCACTATGTAGTCCAGGTTGGCCTCAAAGTCACAATACTCCTGCCTCGGCTTCCTGAGAGCTGGTGTTACAGACATGCACCTCCATTCTTGGTCCAAGTACGTTCATTTTCTAAAAGAAGTTATCACAATTTACAGAAACCTGTGTTGTACATGAGTACACATCATTGAGGTTATGTTCAGAAAATCAAGGTTGTCTTTCCTGTGTGGGAGAAGTTAAATTTTAATTTTCTCAGTTTGTATCAAAACTCCTTTTTTTTTTTTTTTTGCTGGAACCAGGGATTGAACTCAGACCCTTGAGCTTGCCAGGCAAGCGCTTATTCTACTGAGCCATCTCTCTGACCCTCAAAAGGCTCTTGAGATAGATATTGTGTTTGTTAGCATACTTAAAGATAGATTTGAGGGCTGTGGATGTAACTCAGTGGCAGACTGTGCCTTGCAGGCTCTAGGTTTTATGCCCAGCACCATAAAAGAATTAAAAGTTATAATTTTAAAAAGATTGGAGGAGTTGAGTACAATGACACATGCTTATACTCTGAGCTGTTCAGGAGGCAGAAGCAAGATCACTTGATCCCAAGAATTTGAGACCAGCCTAGGCACCATAGTTGAGATTCATCTCTTAAATAATTTATATTTGAAGGGATTTTATTGGTTTCATCATTTTTCCTTTGCTTACAGTATTATGCAGAAATATTTGAAAAATGGTGATTTGTCCTCTGTAAATATTTTAAGGGATTAAACAGAATTTTGGAGTTCATAGTTTCCAACTCCAGTAAAATAGTTGTGAGGATATTTCCATTTATTACATAGTGTTGATAATTTACCACTGGGAAATTTAAGAATATCCAAGAAAAAGATATATTTCTTTGAACATTCTTATCAGTCTTACATTGTCAAGGTTTAAAGTAGACTTTGGCTTTTTCCCCCTGTGGTGCTGCTTGGCCTGCAGGTCTGTGTAGGGCCGCGGACGCAGGTCTATATTACACAGGATGGGTTTTGTTAAGGTTGTCAAGAATAAGGCCTACTTTAAGAGATACCAAGTGAAGTTTAGAAGACGACGAGAGGGCAAAACTGATTACTATGCTAGGAAACGCTTGGTAATACAGGACAAAAATAAGTACAACACGCCTAAATACAGGATGATAGTTCGTGTAACTAACAGAGAGATCATTTGTCAGATTGCTTATGCCCGTATTGAAGGGGATATGATAGTCTGTGCGGCATATGCACATGAGCTACCAAAGTATGGTGTGAAAGTTGGCCTAACAAATTATGCTGCAGCGTGTTGTACTGGCCTGCTGCTGGCCCTCAGGCTTCTCAATAGGTTTGGCATGGATAAGATCTATGAAGGCCAGGTAGAGGTGACTGGGGATGAATACAATGTGGAAGGCATTGATGGCAAGCCTGGTGCCTTCACCAGCTACTTGGACGCAAGCCTCGCCAGAACTACAACTGGCAGTAAGGTTTTTGGAGCCCTAAAGGGTGCTGTGGATGGAGGCCTGTCTATCCCTCACAGTACCAAACGATTTCCTGGTTATGACTCTGAAAGCAAGGAGTTTAATGCAAAAGTACATCGGAAGCACATCCTGGGTCAGAATGTTGCAGACTATATGCGCTACCTAATGGCAGAAGATGAAGATGCTTACAAGAAACAGTTCTCTCAGTACAGAACAATGTAACTCCAGACATGATGGAGGAGATGTATAAGAAAGCTCATGCTGCTATACGAGAGAATCCAGTCTATGAAAAGAAGCCAAAGAGAGAAGTTAAAAAGAAGAGGTGGAACCGTCCCAAAATGTCTCTTGCCCAGAAGAAAGATCGGGTAGCTCAAAAGAAGGCAAGCTTCCTCAGAGCTCAGGACATGCTGCTGAGAGTTAAACCAAATTTCTATGAGGGGCTGGTGAGATGGCTCAGTGGTCTAAAGCACCTACTTAGAACAAGCTTAGCAAAGCACAGGGACCGCGGTTCAATCCCCCAGCACCACATGCCAGCCAGCCCCGCCCCCTGGTGGGCTGAGCTGGCCACACACACAAAAATAAATAAGTAAATAAGTAAATAAGTAAATAAAGCAAACCACACTTAAAAAAAAAATTCTATGAAGATTTTTCAGATAAAGACCAATAAACTTATTCATCAAGAAAAAAAAAATAGACTTTGCCTCCACTACTTACAGTGTGAGTAACAAAAACAGGAGCTTTTTGCATCTTTTAGAATCAGTAAAGAGGTCTAGGCTTGGTAGTGATTTGACAGAAAATCGCTGAATTTTTTACCTCTTCTTTCTGCAAATTTATACTACATTTGTCTCATTTTAATGAAGTTCAGTACAAAGAGTGATAAAGAAGTACTGGGTTAAAAAAGCATAAGAAGCAGGGGCTGGGGAGATAGCTCAGCAGCCTAAGTGCCTGCGTGGCAAGCACAAGCACGGGGTTTGATCCCGGTACTGCATACTGTGCCAGCCAGTGAAACTGGGTGTGGTGGCGCACACCTGTGATTCCAGTGCTGGGGAGGCTGAATCAGGAGGATCACTTCGAGTCTGGGCTGAGCAGTGAGACCCTGTCCCAACTACATTAAAAAAATTCTCAACAATGTTTTTATTAATTAGCCATAAGATATTGGAAAAGTTATAGAAAATCTGTGTGGCTTTATATTTCTCCAGTGTCCAATACTATTACTACCTAAGAAGAAAGTTTTTTTTAAAAAAACCACTAAACAAGCAGAACTTGCTGGGTATTACAATAAACTTCATTATTTATTATATTCCTGTAATATACTAAATACTTATGGGAAAATAAATGTCTTATTTTAATCCAGGGAGTTCAAGATACTTGGTAAATATGACAGCTGATTTATTTTCCTGATTTTGAAGATGAAAACATTGTGGCACAGACACTTTATCATTTATCTCTCCTTTCCTCCTGTATAACTAAAAGTGATTAATGTGTACACAATTTATGACACTGTTTCCTTTATTTTCTTTGTGTTAACTCTTCAGGAAAGAAAACAGTGTAACTCAAACTTTTACCTGTGTGAAACCTGTAGTGAAATTTTTCTGGTAGCACAAAAATCTTTGGTTAAATTGTTGCTGGGGATTATAGTTCAGTGGTGCAAGGCCTACCTAGCAAGCTCAAGATTCCGGGTTTGATTCCTGGTACAAAAAAAAAAAAAAAAAAAAAAAAAAAATGGAGAGAGAGAGAACTGAACAACTTTTTTTTTTTTTAACTCTTCTCCAAACGTGGCTTTTTACTTGTGTAATACACTGTCACAAGAAATAAGGTTGACATTACTTTGTCCTAATAGGAGGACAATAATTAGTAGGCAAAGATTAGGTACAAGCAAAGTATTCTTGTGGAGCTGCATAGTGAGGCCTAGTAAAAGAAAACCTCTCCTTCTATAAAAACCCTGTTCGCACAAACAGATGGCCACCGTTGTTACTTTCTCATGTAAAGCCTTACTTGTGAATAAAAAGTTTTGTATCTTCAACAGAAGATTTTTGTATCTTCTGTTGATCTTATTTCAGCAGAATTAGGAAATAGATTTCAGAAGTCATACAGTATTTACTTAACAATTGTGGAACAGTAAAGTGGGACTTCATGACGTGTATTTTCAGCAAGGCCATAAGATTCTTTTCTCTGCTAACACTTACCCACTTACAGAGTCACAACAAAAAACCTGTCAGAAGGCTGTCATGTGGAGAAGAGAACACTGTCTCTCCGAGCAGCGCTAGCCCCGGGCCCAGTGGCCCCAGGCTGAGTGGCAGGTCCCCGGCCCAGCTGCTCGAGAGCCCCAGCGATGGCAGCGAGAGGGCGGCCAGCCCTGCCGAGAGCAGCGCCAGCGCAGACGCCGACAGTGAGGCCTCAGAGTGGGAGGCGGGGGGCAGAGGCGAGGAGCTGGCCACAGCGGTGTCCCAGCTGTGTGTGAGCGGCGCTGCCCTTGGAGATGGAGATTTGGACAGAGAAAGTCACCCAACGGGTGTCCCAAATAATCGATCAGAGGACAAAGATTCGGGGTCGCAGAGCCGCCAGCACGCCTTTCAAACGCTCTCTCATGGCTACATAACCACGTCGAAGGAGTGCTCAGTCCAGTCGTGCCTCTACCAGTTCACGTCCATGGAGTTACTGATGGGGAACAACAAGCTCCTCTGTGAGACGTGCACTGAGAAGAAGCACAAGTGCCACAAGGACGCCGGCTCTGCAGGTCAGTGTGCAGCTTAACTTGTTCCTGTGGTCTTGGTGGATTCCTAGTAGAGGAATCCGAGAGTCTTCCATGCTGGCGCTGCCGGGCACAGGAACGGTCTTACTCATAATTGACCTGAGCATTTAAGACACCGGTAAGTAGATTTTTTAAAAAATCATTTTTCAGTCGATTTTGTTGAACTAAATCAAGCAATAAGAAGTATACACCTCTGCTTTGAAATAGCAAATAAATGCATTTAATTTTCTGTAAGGGCACTAGCTATCGAAAGTCTTTCTGAAAAAAATGCCCTAAACTTTTGGTTGTATCCCAGGGAGACTAATGCCTTTTGTGAGTCCTATCAATCTTTGTATGCTTTAGATATAAATTAGAAGTTAGGTTTTTTGTTTTGTTTTGTTTTTTTTCAGTACCAGGGATTGAGGGGCCGGGGAGATTGCTCAGTGGAATAAGTGCTTCCCTGGCAAGCACAAGGGCCTGAGTTCAATCCCCAGTTGTGAAAAAAAAAAAAAAAAAGAAAAGAAAAGAAAGAAAAAAAGAAAAGACAAAATAAGGGCCAGGGAGATAGCTCAGTAGAATAAGCACTTGCCTGGCAAGCACAGGATCCTGGGTTCAATTCCCAGTCCTGCAAAAACAAACAAGCAAATCAAAAAAGACAAAGCAAAAAAACCCCTTTCAGTACCAGGGATTGAACTCAGGACCTTATGCTTGCCAGGCAAGCGCTTATTCTACTGAGCTATCTCCCCAGCCCAAAATTGGAAGATTTTAAAGATTTGTTTGTTATGAAAAGTAATACAGTAGTTAGTTAATAATTGTGGAACAGTTAAATGAGACATTTTTTTTTCCAGTACTGGGGATTGAACTTGGGACCTTATGCTTGCCTGGCAGGTGCTTATTCAGCTGAGCTACCTTCTCAGCCCCAAAGTGTATTTTCAATTAGATCACAAGACTCTCTTCTCTGAAACCACTATCAATTTATAGAAGCATGAAGTTGTCATGTAAGAAAGTTGTCATGTGGAGAAAAGTATTCTCTGACCAAAGACAAATGGGAAAGGGAAGATTGTTAAATAAGAAAGTTTTAGTGAAACTTACGTAAATAGAAAGAGTACTCTTACTGACTAGTTGTTTTAAAATGTAAGTGTTATTCAGGTATGACAAAGTCGAGAGACCAGGAAATAATTGCAATGAAAAAAATTGTTATGATTCCTGTCCAAGAGGTAGGAGCATGCTGTCCAATAAAGGGCCACATGGGGAAGCCCTAGGATGAGTCAGGAAGAGAGTGTAGTTTCTGAGGGAAAGAACTGGTAAGGCAAGGTGAAGAACACTGTATTGGCTAGTTCAAATAACTTAAGTGGGTGCTTGAGTATAGGGGTCATCTCTAATTAACTGGTACCAGGGCCAGGGAGATGGCTCAGTAGAATAAGCGCTTGCCTGGCAAGTGCAAGGGCCTGAGTTCAAGCCCTGGTTCCACCAAAAAAAAAAAAAAAAAAATTAACTGGTACCTGGCACTGTGATCAGACAGATGGATAGTGGCCTGGAATAGAACAGTCTCGTAAAAGACATTGGTGGGTGTGGACGCTGGGCTCTCAGCCTGCACATGAAACATGCACAGTCACTGTTTACTCTTTGTCTCAGTGAGTTAGTCCTGGGAGAGGCTGTCCCTTGAGCGTCTCCCAGGCTGTAGATACCGATGTAGAATAGAGACCTGCTTACTACACTAGTAACTAAAGAAATGGCTCGATTGGGGAGGAAAAACATAACAGTCTACAGTACATTCAACTGAGTCAAGTGTGCAATTGTCCATATTCAAATCCTGTTACCAATTCTTTTTAGCAAACTTACATGTCCTATGATTTCCCATGTTGTGAATTCTCTTTGCTGCAGGGTAATAATAGTAAGCTAAAGTTACTAAACTAGCTGTGCTGGTGGTGTCTGGGTGGAGGGCACTGGTGTAAGTTACTCCTAAGTTACAGCTGCTTTCCAGCTCCCAGAGTTTTTCGCAGGTGTCATCTCTCTTACTCTTTGTCATTATTGTGTGTCCTTAAAACATTTCCTATTAAACTTTCATTTTAGTAGTCTTTGGAAAGGCATAGACACCTTGTAATTGGAAGTTCAATTTCTTTAGACTTCTAGAAATGTAGTACGATGCTTCTTTATAAGTATATTACATTGTAGGTAATGTATAAAATAGTTTTACAAATTTGTTGTATTTTGTACAGAAAAGAAAGCAGAAGGAGTTTATACTAATGCCAGGAAGCAGTTGCTCATTTCTGCTGTTCCAGCAATCTTAATTCTCCATCTTAAAAGATTCCATCAGGTAAAAGTCCCTTTAGTAGCACTGTACTTGCCTTAATCATGTGTGTTTTTGCAGAGTCCTAAGTCCCGTGGAATACTGTCAAGGATTAGAGAGTAATTTGTTGAATTTAAAAATTTGTCATGCGGGATTTTCTGCTATTCGAGCCATAATAATTTACAAGGCTTTTCTAATTAAAATCATCTAATTCACAGTATTTGAAGGGTTTGGCAGTATAAATCTCTTAAGTGGCACATGTCTGTGTGTATTAATGGAAAATATGTTTTGTTATGGGCATTTCAAAGCAGCCAAGTAGTAAAGTACACACAGGAGCTGGGCGTGGTGGTACACGCCGTGTTATCCCAGCGCTCTGGAGGCTGAGGCAGGACAGTTGCTGGTAAGCTTGAGGTCAGCCTGGGCTACATAATTCAAGGCTAAGCTGCACTACATCACAAGACTTTGTCTTTAAAAAAAAAAAGTGACACATATCTGGCTTTGGGAGCTCTCATTACACCAACAAAAGGGTACCTGAGGGGGATGAAGCACAGGATGGCACCATTTCTCAGAAGAATGATTGAAATACTTGAAAAAGATGTTTTATATTTGTTTAAAATCAAAACTGTAGTAATGGGATTAATTTGACTAGACTTGCCAATACATACAACATGAGCACAATTTAAAGTTACTATATTGAGATAAAGGAGTTGGCAGATGAGTTGGCAGTGGGGCTGGATTTATCCAGTAAATGCACTAGTCGCCTTTCCCTTGCTGGACAGCATACCCGATGCGTGCGCTTCAAAGCAGGAGAGGTGTAATTTGGCTCTGGGCTTCAGAGCGGTTTGGGCCCCCGGTGGACAACCCCCTGGGCAGAAACAGAGGGCCTGGCGGAGCAGAGCTGCTCACTTCATGGCAGCCGCAAACAGGAGAAGAGCTGGTGAGAATCAAGAGGAAGGGGCCAGGGAGCAGAGATGGCCCCCAGGGGCACGCCCTGACCACCCAGACGCGCTGGTCCCGTGCTTTGCTAGTCTCCTAGGTCGGGGGCCTGCCCCTTAGCTCAGTTCTTTAAGTGGCTGCTTCAACAAAGCAATCAGGCTCAGGGTGCTGTGGTTCGATCCCCAGAACTCAAGCCAGACAAACCTGCCCTGAAGGCATTTGGAGCCAGTCCAAAAAAAAAAAAAAAAAAAAAAAAATCCTAGTCACCTAGATATCTCTCAGGCCAGTCACCTGGACAAATAAATTAACTATTAGGGAAAAATAAAAGTACAGGGATTGCTCTTTACTCTTTATCAGGGAAGACATATTACCCTGAAATAATCTGGGATTGGATATCTGTAGAGAAAGCACTTGATGGGGGGGGGGCAGAGAAATTGAGTACACGCTACGTAATTATTCCTGGGATATAACTTCATAATTGCATTTTCAGCATCATGTTAAAACTTCTAGTTACTTGAAAAAAAAATGAATCACCAAGTGGGTATATTTGACCCTATATAGTAAGTTTTTTTATTTGTTTGTTTTTGTTTTTTAAAGAAAGTAAGAAACAAAAAGGTGACAGGAGCCAGGCTTGGTTGTGTACATCTTTAATCCCAGTCCTCAGGAGGCTGAGGCAGGAGAATTGCAGCAAGTTCAAGGCTAGCCTGGACTAAATACATAATGAGTTCAAGGCCAGCCTGAATTACATAGTGAGACCTTGTCCCAGGTGGCAGATGTACAGTGAAATAATGTATTATGCAATGCAAAGACCAATAAAGTCATGAAAGCCCTGTATGAAAGGCTACGTGTTAATTTTTGTGTACACAAGTAATTCAGATAATTTAGTGCCTTCTCACTAAGAGAGCTCATTTATAATTATATGTCGCCCACCTAGTACCTTTAATAATCAGCTAGCTTTTATTACAATTACATGATGCAAACAAATTTGCCTTTGAAAATTAAAAAAAAATAGAGAGTAATTCCTACTCAAGAATACAAAAATTAGCTTGGCAGGGTGATGCATACCCTTAATCTCGGCTATACTGGAGGCTCAGACAGGCAGATTCCAAGGTTCAGGTCAATTTAGGAAGACCTTGTCTCAAAATACTGTAAAATAAAAAGGGCTAGGGCTGTAGCTCTGAGCACAAGGTCCTGAATTCAATCCTTAGTACCACCACAAAAAAAATTTTTTTTTTTTTACTTAGTTCATTCTGATCTATTTAATTATGCCATTTATTTTCATTGATAGTGTTCAGAGTTTTTTTTTTCTTTTTAATAAGTGGCTATTGTTGAATTTTAGAAATGAAAAGGATTTATAATCCCCGTGTATTTTTTCCGTATCTGGAATTGAACCCAGGGCTTCAATGAGCTATATGCCCAACTCTTTATTAAAAATGTTTATTGTGAGACAGGGTACTGCTAAGTTCAGAATTGCTTGGGCGGGGCCTGAACTTGACTCTCAGAGTGCTGGAATTACAGGTATGCACCACAATATTTTGTACCTGTTTGTTTGCATTAACCTAGATGACCTAAGTCAAATACACTGTGAAGAAGTCATTGAGGCAGGCTAGAATACCAAGCTCTTGGCTCTTTTAGTTGCATACATTTCATGATAACATATGTGTGAATAGCTTAGCTTTTAACACATTAAATTTATTTTTCATTGATGTTGAAAAGCCACAGTGGAAGTTCCTTACTGTTTATGGTTTTTACCCATGTAAATGAAATCTTTGCAGTAATTGTTTATGAAACCTAGCCGTATCAGTTGTGGATTATTTATTAGTCCTATTTAGTTATATCTATGAAAAAAGTTCCCAGAATTTCTTCTTTGATTTTAACAGAGTGCTTTAGATATAGTTAAGTCTGTTGCTGCACTAAGAAACTTTTTTTGTCTTTTTAAGGCTGGCATGAGTCTTCGTAAAGTAAACAGACATGTAGATTTTCCACTCACGCTTGACTTGGCACCATTCTGTTCTGCTGCCTGTAAGGTACTGTATATTGGGGAATTTAATTGACAATGCAAATAATAAGCTAATAAGTTTCAAGGTATCATGTGCACTGTTTATTAGGCTGTGCTTTATTTCATTATTTAAATAAATTTCATCTCTAAATTTAATGAAGTGAAATCAGTAACTTGCAGCACATTTAATCCACTGGCTGCGACTTTGGGGAACAGGTGAGGCCTGGCGAGCACGAAGATCAGAGCTGGTCGGAAACGCAGTCAGAAGCTGATGGCTGTTGCGAGCAGTGATGGCCTTTGTGCCCTCTTCTTCCTCCTGAATGATCTGCTTAGTCAGTAGTCAGTGCAGCATTCGTGGAGTTCTGTGTCTTTTTCAAGTCAACAGACCAAGGTGTGGTTTTTCAAGCCACTTCGTATGTGCTGAGGGTAGTGTACCTGTCAGATGAGTACGATACTTCAAAATTGCTGATACCTTACTAGCTAGCTATAGAAATTAGGCATACTGCTATTCCTAATTTACTAATTAGATACAGAAAGTAATTAAAAAAATTATTTGGTTGTTGCAGGGTCTCACTATGCAGCTTGGACTTGGTGATCCTGCTCCTTTCAGGCATGGGCCACTACACATGGGCCACTATGCCTGGACTCCAGCTGGCGCAGCCCATGGCACAGCATGTGGTATCGGGTTGAACTGTGGTCCCTGCACTTGCCTAAGCAGGCACTTCAGTCTGCTGAGCTATCTCACTGTCCCCTAAATTGCTTGACAATTTCTTGGACTTATATGTAAGAATTGTGATGAAAAAGTTGATGGACTTTTCTTGAGAGAATCACTTACAGGGTAACCTTGAGACCTGCTCATAATTATTGTCCAGAAGTCCAGGTTTTATGGTAAATACCAGAATGCTATTGAACTTAATATTTTCAGTACACTGTTCAATCAAAACAAAAAAATCTTGGCTGTTCAGATAGCTCAGCAGATTAAGCTTCTGCTTAGACAGAACCAGGGGCTGGGGTTCGATCCCTGGATCACCGGATCCCTGGCCTGCCCCTGCAGTGTCATGCTCTGTCCCTGGGGCTTGCTGAGACATTGAGACTGGATGTAGTGACGTGTGACTGTAATCCCAGCATCTGGGAGGCTGAAAAACAGGAAGGATCACTATGAGTCTGATCTGTGTAGTGAGACTCTGTACTAAATACATAAATTAAAAAAAAAAAATCTTAAGTGCAGTTTTCTAATGAATCTAATTTATGTGCTGTGGAAAAACAATACCACCTGTCAATTATTAACAGTGGGCTGGTGAGATGGCTCAGTGGTCTGGGGCACCTACTTAGAACAAGCTAAGCTACACAGGGACCGCAGTTCAATCCCCCAGCACCACATGCCAGCCAGCCCCGCCCCCTGGTGGGCTGAGCTGGCCACACACTAAATAAATTAAAAAAAAAAAAAAAAGAAATTATTTTATTTTATTTTATTTATTTATGCGTGTGTGTGTGTGTGTGTGGCCAGCTCAGCCCACCAGGGGGCAGGGCTGGCTGGTATATGGTGCTGGGGGATTGAACCGTGGTCCCTGTGTTTGCTAAATTAGTTCTAATTAGGTGCTTTAGACCACTGAGCCATCTCACCAGCCCCCAAAATTATTAACTATTCCTAGAATTTAAGGTATTAAAAATAATGAAATTTAAAAAAAAAATTGGGGGCCAGGGAGATGGCTCAGTGGAATAAGCGCTTCCCTGGCAAGCGCAGGGGCCTGAGTTCAATCCCCGGTTCTGCAAAAATAAAAATAATAATAATAATAATAATAAATAAAAAGAATGAAATTTATTATTCATTATTCAGCCAGGGTTCAATCCCTGGCGTGCTGTGCCAGCTCCACCCCTCGGGCACACTGAGATGGCAATTGACAATGGGCATGGTGGTTTACACCTGTAATCCCAGCTCTTGGGAGGCTGAACACAGGCAGATCACTATGAGTCCGATCTACATAGTGAGACCCTGTAGACCCTTATTAAAAAATCAAAAAAAAAAAAAAGAAGAAAAATTCAGTAAGTCATGTTAAGTTTATAGGAACATTGTGTTTTAAAAGTCCCTATTATGGGGAATTTCTGATGTACAAAAAATTAAACAGAGCATGGCCAGGGGTTGTGGCACATGCCTGTAATCCCAACACTCAGGAGGCTGAAGCAGGAGAATCGCTATGAGTTTGAGGCCAGCCTGAGCAACATAATGAGTTCAAGACAAGCCTGAACTGTGTAGTGAAACCCTGTCTCACCCCCATGCCACAAATACATTAGGTAGAACAATATAATGAATCTCCATACCTAGCCCTACAACCTCAGATCTGTGGTCCCATCAACACACCCTCCATTACCTCCCTTTGTTATTACTTGAAGTTAACCTTTGTGTTTTTTTTGGGGGGGGGGCAGAACAGGGGATTGAACTCAGGCCCTTGAGCTTGCCAGGGAAGTGCTTATTCCACTGAGATAACTCCCCAGCCCCTCATGTATCATTTCACCATAGATATTTCATCTACAAGACAAGAAAGACTCCCTATCCTTTTTTGAAAACATAACCACAGTATCATTTAATGGAATGCCTTCATGTCATCTAGAGTAATAGATCTAATTGTTTCACAATGTGATTTTTAAAATAAGCTCATATCCATGTAAAGGCCATGTGCTATGATTAAGTAATAGCACTTAACACTCTTCCAATACAGCTTCTCTTCTGTCTCTCTCACTACACTTGCCATTTATTTGTTGAAGAAACCAGGTTATTTTTCTTGTATTGCTCATAATTTGGGTTTTGGTGATTATTCCACTGTTCTTTTTTATATCTTACAAATAGGTAGTCAGACCTAGAGAAACTTCAGTAGGTTCAGGTTTAATCCCTCCCCTCCTTTTCTGGTAAGGCTACTTCAGTGGAAGTGTCGTGTTCTAAAACTCAGATTGTGCTGAACCACTAGATGTATCTTGTGTGACATTTGCAATCTCTGGTGCTCAGTGCTACATCCATGAGTTCATTAGGCTACAGAACGATGCCTTAGTATGGCATTTCTTCTTTTTTTATTAGCTATAATACTTGTAGAGAAGATCCTTTCATCTTTTCCTTATTTCTTTTTGGTTGTTTTTGTTTTGTCTTGAGACAATAATCTGATTTATGTGCTGTGGGAAAACAGTACCACCTGTTGATTATTAACAGTATTCCTAGAATTTAAGGTATTAAAATAATGAAATTTATTATTATTCAGCCAGGGTTTGATCCCTGGCGTGCCCTGCCAGCCCCACCCCCAGGGGCATGCTGAGATGGCAACTTGAGACTGGACATGGTGCACGCCTGTAATCCCAGCACTTGGGAGGCTGAAAACAGGAAGATCACTATGAGTTCGATCTGTGTAGTGAAACCCTGTAGACCCGTACTAAATACATTTTTTTAAAAAAGTTTAATTTTGTTAAATAATTACATAAAATGTTTATATAACTTCAAAATCAAACATATCAAGTAGACTAAAAATAAAATCAAAGTTTTTTCTCTCATGTCTATTTGCTACTTCATATTTAAAAGCTATTTTTTAAAAATATAAGCAGATTTCATTTATATTTGCCTTTCCCTTCTTAAATAATAGTAGCTTAGTATCTAGCCCTATTTTCTATCTTATTCTATTTTATAAGGTAGAGATTACTTCATAGAAGTATAATCTATGTTCTGATTTTGTTTTTTTCTGCCCCTCTTTTTTTTTTTTTTTTTTTTTTGGTGCAGGGTCTTACTATGCAGCTCGAATTCGTAGTGACCCTCTTGTTTTCAGCCTCTTCTGTGCTGGCATTACAGGTGCATGCCACTATGCCCAGACTTGGTTGCCCGCTCAGCATGCCTGGGGATGGGGCTGGGGCTGGTGAGGCATGTGCTGCCAGAGATCAAACCCTGGCCCTTGCGCTTGTCTAAGGGGCTATCTCGCCAGCCTTCCTCTCCTTTTATTTTTATTTTTTAAATTTTTCCCCATAATTTTATTAATAGCAGTAAGACAGTTTCAAATCAAACTGGTAGGACAGTTTCAATAATTAACACATTGCATACATTCTTCCTAGTGGTTACTGTACAAGATGAGGACATGATATCCTATTTACAAACACCATTAGAACAAATCACTCTATTCATTAAGATCCTTTTTTTTATTACCTGTAATACTTGTAGAGAAGATCCTTTCATCTTTGTCCTTATTTCTTTTTGGTTGTTTTTGTTTTGTTTTGTCTTGTGTGTTATCTCACCAGCCTTCCTCTCCATTTTTAAAGCAATATATACTCTACTGAGTGGATATATTACAGTTTATTTAATCAGTCCTTCATTATAGACATTTGAGTCTATTGGAGTCTTTTGATACTACAGTAATCCTGTTAATAGTCTGATGCATTTAAAATTTTTTGTAAATGTAGAATCCCATGAATAGAATTGATAAATCCAACAGTTATATATATATATATATATATATGTTATATATATGTGTAACTTAGAATGAAATCTCACTGCAAAAAGATAGTAACATCCACTTGTATTCCCATGTGGAGCCCCAGCAATTTCCCTTTCTTCCCCACAGACCAGCCAATAGTCTTGTCCAGCCTAATCAATATGTAAAAAGTATCTCAATGCAATTTAATAATGTATTTCTCTATTGTAAACAGGATATGTATTTACTTATTTTTTCTTACAATTGTATTTCAGTAAATGCTACTAATTTTTTTTTCATTTAAAAGAATGTAAGTGTGGGAGATGAAGTTCTCTATGATCTCTATGGCATAGTGGAACACAGTGGCTCCATGAGAGGAGGCCATTACACTGCGTATGTGAAAGTCAGACAGCCCTCCAGGACTCTGTTGGAACACATCACTGGAAAGAAAAGCATACCTGGTATGCCATCCTAACTACAGTTTATGTTTTTTTAAGTATATTGTATTCTTTTTTTTTTTTTTTTTTTAATTTATTTATGTGTGTGTGTGTGTGTGTGGCCAGCTCAGCCCACCAGGGGGCGGGGCTGGCTGGCATGTGGTGCTGGGGGATTGAACCGTGGTCCCTGTGCTTTGCTAAGCTTGTTCTAAGTAGGTGCTTTAGACCACTGAGCCATCTCACCAGCCTCGTATATTGTATTCTTGAAAATAAATGAATTCATCCTCCTTTGTTGGGAAGAAGTAGGTTATTATTTCACACTTGGATTCACTTTATTATGGAGAATGACCTCTAAGAGTGCTTAGTCTTAGGGAATCTTAATTATTAGAAGACTGTACCCTGTTAGGGGATAGGAGGTGACACATGGCTTTTCAAGGTATTGAGTCATTATGTACTGCAGTACAGTAATATTAAATAATAACCAACATTGTTTGAAGATATACCATGTTCTCCAAATCAAGTTGTAACTTTGCTGGCTTTGCTTATACAGGATCAAAGTAATTTGCCATTTTCCTGCCTTTTAGTAAGTTTTTCTTTTCTCCCATCAAATCAGTAAGTATAGAGCTAATATTTCAGTAGATATTTAAATGAAAGTGTTACAAACTTGAGATATTTATTAACTACCCCAATAATATTAGTGTTTTGAAGGTATTAGTTCATTTTGGAAAATATTTAATCTAAGAAGAGAGAGATCATACAGTAAGATCTATTACTAGAAAAAATATCTGTAATGAATGTGTTGCTGTTTGTATGTTAGAGAACATAAGATATACTTATTGTAACATTCTCTTTTTTATTTTGTTAGGTTTGAAAGAGCCTGATAGCGAATCAGAAGGCCAGTGGGTCCATATTAGTGACACCTATGTGCAGGTGGTTCCAGAGTCAAGAGCACTTTGTGCACAAGCTTATCTTCTATTTTATGAAAGAATATTATAATTATATGTTACATGTTCATTAGTTCGCTCACTTTTATTTGAATGCTGCAACAGTAACCATAGCAGGTGACATGCCTTTGTAATATCTTCTTAGGAAGAACACAGCCCCCAAAAGCACTTTCACTTTTTTTTTCTTTTACCATTTTGGAGAATGCTTTTAAAGTGAATTAAATTTACTGAATGATTTCAAATTAGTATCTTAAACATAAGAGACATTTTTGCAAAAATTTGTCCTAGGGGGCAGAGAAATTTACAGTAATAGAATAAACATCTTGTGCTATGGCTCATCACTATAAGCATTCAGAAATTATCCTGGCTAAATGAAATCGCTTAATACCGTGTCTCTGAAAGGCAGTGACGCTTTCCTGATCACATGAAATACATCCTGTGCCATTATTTATTTTTTTAACATTTAGCTTTTTATACCTTAGCCATATTATAAGCAATTATATTTCACATGATTATTTTTCATAATAAATATTAAAATATATAAATATTAAAGAAAATATTCATTCATGTACCACTTCATTTAAAAATCATCTCAGGGCTATCCTATGGTATACATATATTACAATTTGGGAAACACTGCTATACCTATATGAAGTAGTACTTAATATAACATAGTTACCATGTTGTATTTTAAATTATTCGGCCATATAAGAAGGTGACACTGTAATTTTAGTACTGTGGGTTTACAAGTAATCATTGCTTAGCTAATTACTTTGAGGTTTTGAAAATATTGAAACATTTTATGAATATTTTCTGCAGCCTATTCATGGAAAAGTTAGATAATACTGGTCGATCAAGGTCAAAATATAATCACAGATAATTATAACATACAGAATTGGTTCACAGTAAGTGATAACCTTTGTGGCTCCATAGGATGCCTTTGAAATAGAAGTTAAAATATTGTATTTGTAAATGATAGAGAACTACATTCTTGTACTTAACAGAGAAATAAGTGCATTTTTCCACTTCTGTGCTCTAGTAAATATTGGCCTCTGTTTCTGGGCGTAGAGAGCACTTGTGTGGGGTCTCCAGCAAGTGCCAAGCAGCATTCCAAGAAAAGTCAGCTTGTACTTTGTTGGAGCACAAAGCAGGCACTTCTGTTTTAGATAATAGCAAAACTATCATAGTTTTCCTTCTTTAGAACACACATTAAGCTGACAAAACTTGGCTTGAAAAATATTGCTTAGGCTTAAGTTGAAAAACACATGGGTATTTCAGGGTCATATTATTGAATCCAAATGTAACTGCATGATTCAAGCATCCTAATCATTAGTGCCAGTGGATGACAGTACAGGCAAGCACTGGACAATTTCCTAGAAAAGGGAGAAGGAATAAAAATAGTGGTTGTATATAATGTGTGGAAATACTAAGCAATCCTGATTCTTTGTAAAAAGTAATTCTATAACACTGTGTATATATATCATCATCAAGGTTACCAGTGCTGCCTTTTGATATATGGATAA